GTCAGATATACAGAGGAGGAAGAGGAGTTGCTATGGCTAGAGCTGCGTTGATCCAAAGCCAGGATCCAGGAACCTTCACTGGGTCTCCCGTGCAGGTGGAGGGTCCCAAGGCTTTGGGCCGTCCTCAACCGCTTTCCCAGGCCACAAGCAGGGAGCTGAATAGGAAGCATGGCCGCCAGGATTAGAACCTGCGGCCCATATGGGATCCTGGGCTTGCAAGGCGAGGACTTTAGCCACTAGGCGACTGCACTGGACCCCTTTTCCTATTAAAATAAGTAATGTAAAAATAGATTTACTCTCTTTGCTCACTCTCACATGACAGTTTCACTGAGTTTGCTTTAGTTAGCTAAATTTATTTCGTAAACTTTACACATCTTTGTTGGTGAGATGTCCGCCAGATATTTCACTGACTTTCCTTCCGAGACACCCCGATTTTCCCTTGATTTGCCTCTTGTTTTCCTTAACATTCCTCATTTTGTTACCACATGTCTTGGTGAGGATTTGTCTGTATTTATTTTGTGAGATCAGTAGTGGTGCCTCTTGAACTGTGATTCGTATCTTTTTTCTTTTCCAATTTTGAAAATTCTCAATGGTTTCCCTCTCTTAGACTACCAGATATAACCTATATAAATTGTGTGTGTGTTGGGTATTTCTTTCTATTATTGCCGCTCCAGCTGGGCTTCAGCCTTGCCCACGTACTTGCGCAGCTGGCACGCCACTCCTGCTCCTTTTTTCTCTGATCTGGTTGATGACCATGAGCACCTGGGCAGTGGACTTGGGGACAACACGGACTGTGGACAGGTTGGACACTGCGCTGCTGGGAACCTTGATGACGCCCAGCTGCAACAGCTCCACTTTGAGGTGCTTCAGCTACTCCATCTGCCGGGGAGTCCCAATCCTTGGTCTTGGCCATGACTGCCAGGGTCCTTCCGCTGCTGCTAGGAAGGAAACAACGTTTATAGCTTTTTTCTGTTTTCATCTTATAACTCCTTTTGTGTTTATTGTGGATCTTCCTATTCTCTTACTCATGTCTAATGATCTCATCTGGGGCGCCAGTTATTTTTTCAACGTAGCTAACCCTTTATTTAACCTTGTTTTTTTTTTCCTTTTGATTATTGATTTCTTTATGTTATTATTTTATGATACAGTTCCATAGGCTCTGGGATTTCCCTATACTCCCCCCAATTTCCCTCCCGTCCACTGATTTTCCCTATATTATTACAATAGTATAGTCCTTTTTAAAATAGTTTTTTTGAAGATTTATTTATTTTTACTGGAAAGTCAGATATACAAAGAGGAGGAGAAACAGAGAGGAAGATTCTCCGTCTGATGGTTCACTCCCCAAGCATCCACAGCAGCCAGAACTGCACCGATCTGAAGCCAGGAGCCAGGAGGTTCTTTCTGGTCTCCCACACGAGTGCAGGGTCCCAAGGCTTTGGGCCATCCTTCACTGCTTTTGCAGGCCACAAGCAGGGAGCTCGATGGGAAGCTAGGCTGCCAGGATTAGAACCAGAGCTCATATAGGATCCCAGTGCATGCAAGGTGAGGACTTTAGGTGCTAGGCTACCACGCCAGGACCAATAGTATATAGTCTTAAGTCCAATAGTCATAAGTCCATCATTCTGATATTTGAGTGTGTCCTGACATTGCAGGCATGGACAATGGCAGAGTCCAGCATCCCATTGTCAGAATATATTTAACAGTTTCATTGGGAGTCCATCTTTGATCTGGAAGTAAAGATGAGTACTGCATTGTATCTTCACATCTGGATATGAGACTCTTTATTTTACAGTTACTTTGCAACCCCTTAAATGAAAACAAAATCACCAACAGGCAGAAAAGCAGAAAATTTGCTATAAGGTGAAAGTTAAATAACATGGTACTGAATGACTGTTGTGTCACTGAAGAAATGAAAAAGAAAATACAAAACCTTCCTGAAGAAAATGATGCTTTTGTATGACCTGTATGTCACTAAAGAAATTGACAAGAAAAAAAAAACTTTTTGAAGAAATGAAAATAAAAAGAAAATTCCCAAATCCGTGAGATGTAGTAAAACAGTATTTCAAGGGACATTTATAACATCAAATGCTTATAAAAATCTAGATATCTTAGAATCTAATAATGCCTCTCAAGGACTTATTAAAAAATGAACAAGAAGTAAGAAATGATAAAAATCGCAGCAAAAAAAGTGGAATTGAAACTAAAGTATAAATTGCAACAAGAGCCATTTTTTAAAATGAGGGAAACAAATTTTTAGTGAGACTAGCAAAGAAAAGCAAGAAAGAAAAATCAAAATATCTCAAATAAAATTAGAGATTAAAAAATCCATCATAAGAATCTAGTAAGGTGGGCCCGGCGCGGTGGCGCAAGTGGTTAAAGGTCCTCGCATTGCACGCCCAGGATCCCATATGGGCGCCGGTTCTAATCCCGGCAGCTCCGCTTCCCTTCCAGCTCCCTGCCTGTGGCCTGGGAAAGCAGTCGAGGACGGCCCAAAGCTTTGGGAACCTGCACCCGTGTGGGAGACCCGGAAGAGGCTCCTGGCTTCGGACTGGCATAGTATCGGCCCGTTGCGGCTCACTTGGGGAGTGAATCATCGGACGGAAGATCTTCCTCTCTGTCTCTCCTCTCTGTATATCCGCCTTTCCAATAAAAAATAATAATAAAAATAAATCTTTAAAAAAAAAAGAATCTAGTAAGGTGATCTCTTCTTGCTGAATGGATCCTTTGATCATTATGTGGTATCCTTCTTAATATTTTTCATGTCAAAGTCTATATTATTTGATATAAGCATGGCTATAGCAGCTCATTTTTACTTTCCAATATCCTGGAATATCTTTTTCCATCCTTTCACTTTTAGTTTCTATATGTCTTTGTTGTTGCAACTGAAGAGAGCTTAATTATCATGTGTCATGGTGAAGACAACTTTTGGTCAACCCCTACTGGGAGTCCTTTGCCTCTTCTGTATTCTGTTTCCCAATTCTTTCTCCAAATTAGGGAAGTTTTCTTTTATTATTTCACTAAATACATTTCTCAACCCAGCTTCTCTTTCTGTGCCATCTGCAACTCCCATAACTCTTGCATCTGGCATTTTAATAGTGTTCTTTAATTCTTGACTACTTTTCTTAGCTTGACTCAGGTCCTCTTTCAGATTTTTAAGTCCACCCCTCCCCCATTGTTGAAGGAAATGTTTTCGAATTTTGGGATTCTTTCTTCTTCCTCAATCATTCTGTTATTGAGGCTTTCCTCTGAGTTTTAATTTGCTCTATTTTTGTTCTTCATTTCTAATGATTCTGCTTGATTTTGTTTCAGTGTAGCTATTTCCTGTGTGACATATCCCTGAAGTTCCTTGAGCTTCTATATGTGCTTCATTGTTGTTAAGAAGCTTTATCCAAGTTTTTAAAATTCTGTATCCACCATTACCTTGATGTCTTCCTCCGTTAACCCTGAGGCTGGCAAAGGCTTGTGCTCCTTTGCAGGGGAGTCTTCAGTAATATTCATTGTGCCTCTGTCTGTTCTTTTGCTCTTGGTTTTTATGTTTCTGGTTAGCAGATTCTTCTCTTTAAGGCCAGTACTAAGCTGTGTTGCCCATTGGCCTATAGGCTGCCATGGCCTGAGCTGAGCCATTCTGAAGCTAAGGAGCTAGGAGCTTCTTCTGGGTCTCCCATGCAAGTGCAGAGTCCCAAGGCTTTGAGCCATCCTCTACTGCTTTCCTAGGCCATAAGCAGGGAGCTGGATGGGAAGTAGAGCAGCCGGGCACAAACCAGCTCCTATATGGGATCCCAGGGGTTGCAAGGCGAGGATTTAGACACTGATCATACTGTGCCCAAGAATAGATATTTGTTATGGTTGGAGGAATAACTTGGAAGGCATACTTTCTGTGAGGCAGTAAGGTAATAATGCAAAGATGAAGACTCTTGAAACAGTAGAAAGTTTGGAGCCTCACTCTGTTTGAGGATCCAGATTTTGTCTTGTGGGACAGCATAAGTATAATAATAGAAATATCTGAGCCTTTATTATTTATTTATAAAACTCCAGGCGCTGTGTGAGACTCTCTTCACAATCTGCTTGAAATGGCAGATACAGTATCTACACTTATGCTATTGTTCTGAAATTCGTTGGGATTAAATAGCTTAGCCAAAATTGAAGACCTGATAAACAAGGACCCAGATATCATGTGTCTGGTTATGAAATCCCTCCTGTTTCTTTTAAGCCACTTATACAGTCATTTCGGATTGGTAGAATTTAGGTTAGGTTATGCTAACTGGGAAAACCAACTCATGCTTGTCAACTTAAGGTGTGTGTGTGTGTGTGTGTGTACATATGTGTATATATATATTAAATATATATATTTATTAGCATGTCCTGTAATCATGATAAGCAACTAATATTTCCTAAGTTCTTGCTACATGTTAGGCTGTACTATACATATTGTCTCATTAAGTTCCAAATGAGAAATAAAATCTTTCATTAATGTAAATTTTCAAGTTAGGAAATAGAAACTCAGAAATATCAACTTAAAAATCATTAGATGTCACAGCCAGAGTTCAAAATCAATCTATGCTTTACACAGTCTGTTTGAAATTGAGAGCAAGTCAGATTACACATTTTGTGACATCAGGAAGTGTCAAGTCCAATGAGTATTGGTGATAACCTTTTAGTTTTCTCTGGGAACCAGAAAAGAGTTAAATCCATTATTCCTGCATCTGTTCACTTGATAACCCCATTGCCTTTTGATTATGTGTTAACATCCTTGTAGTCCACAGGTACTTGTTGTATGAATGTTACGTAGTGCTACCATGAGAATTTCCAATGTGGTGCACATTATATGTTTTTAAAGCAGTTTTATATCCTCCTTGTTTGGAGTTTATTGATTGAATGAAGTTAAATTGAACTAGTAGCAACATTTTTTATGCTGTTGTTCAGGTATAAAATGGATACATTTTTAAAACTTTGCCAGGTATCTTATCTGTGGTCTGAGCAATTTTATTTTTCATTGTTAGAACCAGATCAATAGTAACCATCTTCGCAGAGCAGAGCAAGAGGTGATCAGCCTACAGGAGAAGGTGCAGTATCTCTCTGCGCAGAACAAAGGACTGCTTACTCAGTTAAGTGAAGCAAAGCGCAAGCAGGCAGAGATTGAATGCAAGGTAAACGTGCCTTCCAGCTGGTTGTTTCTGTTCATGTTAATCATGCCTTTGAGGATCATGATTCTAAAGGAAATAGAACCAGCATTATCCCTGTTATACTTTCCACTTTCCCTGAACTTGTTTTGACGGTTGCTTTCTGACTAGATTAGCTCATCTTGATTGGGGCTAGATGTTGGGGGAGAAACCTTTTCAAACATTTCCTTGATGAACTTAATTTTCTGTGGTGGCATTCGCTATTATTTCTTTACAGTGTTTCTTTTGACTACTGGCTCTGTAAAACTGAGGTTTTTTAATAGCTGCCTCCAAGATATACATAATTTAGGGGGCTTAAATCTTCCTTTGGCTGATATTTTATTAGCAGGCAGTCAATATATTTTCTGGATAGAAAGCAAAAGAAATGTGTATGCACTGGTGTGATAAATAAGCATATTTTCCTTTATTTATGCTTGTATTTTTAAAATGAGCTTCTTATTTAAAAGACAGGATGACAGAGAGAGGAAGAACCAGAGATCTTCCATTAGCTTTGTCACTCCCCAAATGGCAGCAACAGCCAGGCCCGGGCTCAGTAGAAGCTAGGAGACAGGAACTCCATCCTGGTCTCCCTCTTGGGTGTTGAACCCCCAGTTATTGGGCTGTCATAAGCTGCCTTCCCAGGTGCATTATAAGGGAGCTGTAATGGAAGCAGAGCAGATAGGACCTGAACTGGTGCTCTGATATGGGAGGCCAGCATCATTATCAGCAGCTTAAACCTCTGGACCACAATGCCCTTATTCTTTTCCTCAACCAATCAATCTCTCTCATCTTTTCTCTTTTTCCCCTCTCCACAATATTTTAATTTAAAAAATGAAATTATTTGATGTATACATTTTCCTGGAATAAATTTACAATCTAACAAAGATGATATAGAGAAGAGTTGGGGGATAAGGTGAAAGGAGGGAGAGGGATGTGTGTGAATTAACTGAAGAGATAAGTCTAGTCTCAGTTGTGCAATAGATTGCTTCAAGGCAAGTCAGGGATTTGAAATGTAGACTAGGCATCCACATTTTCATGGCGAGATCATAGGAATGATACCCCTTAAAGATTCCAGCCATACTATATTCTACAAGAAATAAGACTTTCAGTGGCACATAAAAAGCTGTAATTCCATCAACTTCTTCTGGTGTCATTTAAAACCAAGAGTGAAGCTTGAGTGGTTTATCAGTGTCACTGAAGTCCAGAGATGGAATTACATCCTGATAAATATTCATGCTGCTATAGTTTACACTGACAGAAATCTGTAGGCAGTACTGAGCTTGTACTAGTTGAACCATGGTCCTTTTTGAAGGATTTTCACTATGCTAGGTCAAAAATAAAATAATGTGAATTGAGTTCATACCAGTTTGATTTTTTATACCAGTATTTGATTTGAGTTTTCGGATGCTAACTATCCATGCTGACTTGTGTTTATGAGAAGTAAATTTCATCTTCTTTCATTATTGTTTAGAGCTTAGATTATTTGTATTAACTTCTTAAATGCTATAGCACCGTTAAGCAAGGTAAAGTGTTTTTCAAAAACAAATTTTTGGGGAGTTTTATCATGACAATCACTTCGTTTTCTTTGAATCCGTAATAGACACAGATTCAGAATAGTAGAGAGTTTTAAGAACCTATTGGAATGCTACTTTTTGATGTTTGTGTCTTTATGAAGTGTGGCACAGATGCTGGATGTGTGTGTTTTATCTTGTTTGGAGTAATTCAAGTTCAAATACAACTTTTTCCAAGGAAACCAGTTCTTAAATTATTTAAGCCTGTTTCATTTTGAGTTTTATGATTACAGCCTTTGCTTTGTTGATAATTAATCATTAGAACATTTTAATTTTTCATTTATGTCAGGATATTGTTTATAATATTTTCATTTATTTTCCCTTCTCAACTGAAATCAGATGTTCTCACTTAAAAATGGAGTAGTGCAAATCAAATGATACCCAATCTCAGAATCCAAATCTGAAGTTTTTCGTGAATTCTACACAAATCTATTGGGAGACAAAACCTGTTTTGAGTTGATGTACTGCCATTTATTTGTTTGCTTCTTTTACCCTGCTTTGTTTCATTATTTTTATATATCCCCATATGGAATTTGGATGTCTTCTTCTATGCACAGCCTTTTATGATTTGTCTTCATTCCGCTTGGTGTGGGTGATACTGCCTCCCTGGGTATATTGAGCATGCTGTTCAATTATGTGTCCTGCCCAAGACCATGCTGGGTTACACAAACACAAGATTTATATACTTTGTTACTTTCCTGAAATCTGAAAAAATTCAGTGAGCTCCAATTCACGTGATCTGTCATTCTGTTTGCCACCCTAGAATAAGGAAGAAGTGATGGCTGTGAGACTCCGGGAAGCAGATAGTATAGCTGCTGTGGCTGAGCTACAGCAGCACATTGCTGAACTTGAAATCCAGGTACCGTATGATAATACGCAAGTGTGTGGAAAAATATCACAGTATCCCCCCTTCGCTCTGGCTGGACAATGATCTGCTTATATCATCACCCTCATGGCTTCCTTCACTCCAGTGCTTGCTTGCTTTCAGAGTGATTCTGTTTCATCAGGGCAAAATGCAGATAACATACAATTGGTCATTTTAAAGGATACTGTTCTGTAATGTTCCATGCATTCATACTGTTGTTCAACCATTACACTGTCCATCACTAGAACATTCTTCCCTAACTGAAACTCCATGCCCATTAAACACTAACTTCCTATTCTTTTTTCACCCCAGCCCTTGGCACCCACCATTTACTTCTGTTTCTTTGAACTTGACCATTCTAGATGCTTTTTGTAAATGGATTCATATAGTGTTTTTTATTTCCTGATTGGCCTATTTCTTTTAGCATAATGTCCATAGGGTTCATTCATGTTGTAGTGTGTGTCCAAATTTCCTTTTTAAGGTGAAACAATATTCCATTATATGCGAGACTATATTTTGTTTATTCATTTGTTCATTGCTTCCACATTTTGGCTAGTGTGAGTGATGCTACTATAAACATAGCTGTACAAATATCTGGATGATATCTGTTAGAGTCATTTCTCTCTTTAATATTTATTTATGTATTTTAGACACAAAAGGAGAGGGACCTAAAGAGATAGAGGGAGACAAAGACAGAGAGAGAAGAGAAAACAGAGAGAGAGAGAGAGAGAGAGAGAGACTTTTATCTGCTGATTCACTCCCTGAATGCCTCAGGAGCCAGCTCTGTGCCAGCAAAAGTGAGGAGCCAGGCAATCTGTCCTGGTCTCCAAAGTGAGTGGCAGGGACCCAGTTACTTGGTCAGTCTTCCACTGTTTTCACAGGCACATTAGTGGGAAGCTGGATCAGAAGCAGAGCAAGCAAGGACTTGAACTAGCATTCTGATGGGGGCATTGACATCATAAGCTGTAGCTTAACGTACTGTGCCACAGTACCAGCCCCCCACTGTCGTTTCTTTTGAATACATACCTTTTTTAAATGATTTATTTATTTTTATTACTAAGTCAGATATATATATATGTATACGTATATATATGTGTGTGTGTATATATATATATAGAGAGAGAGGAGAGACAGAGAGAAATATCTCTGTCTGATGATTCACTCCCTAAGTGACCACAATGGCCGATGCTGCGCTGATCCGAAACCAGGATCCAGGAGCTCCTTCTGGGTCTCACATGGATACAGGGTCCCAAAGCTTTGGATCATCCTTGATTGTTTGCCCAGGCCACAAGCAGTAAGCTGGATGGGAAGCAGGGCTGCTGGGATTAGAACTGGCGCCCATATGGGATCCCAGTGTGTTCAAGGCGAGGACCTTAGCTGCTAGGCCATGGTGCCGGGCCCTTGAATACATACCTTGAAGTGGAATTGTAGGATCATGTAATAATGATGCTTAGTTTTGTTTGTTTGCTTGTTTGTTTTAGAAAAAGCTTTCATGTCATTTAGAAAAAATGTCCATGTCATTTTTTCACAACTGTGTCAACAACTATGTCAGCTGCTACCAGCAGTACACAGGATGTTCCATTTTCTCTGCATTCTCACCCACTTACTGGTTTTGTGTTTTTATTCTCCACATCATAATATGGTATAAAGTGATAGTTCAAATAGTACCTTTGATTTTCATTTCCCTAATGATTAGCAGTGTTGAGCATTTTTCATGTGCTTAGTTGGTGTTTAAACCCCTTCCTTCATTTTTAATCAGGCTGTTGTTGCTGAATTGTAAGTTATTTAGATTTTTCATAGATTTGTTCATGGTTTTGCAAAAGCATTTTCTTCCTTCTTCGCTGCCTTTCTCTCTGCTGCTATTGTCCTTTGATGCACAAAAGCTTTTAGTTTTACTAAAGTTCAGAATGCCCAAGTTCGAGTCTTGGCTCCACTACCAATCCCAGCTTCTTGGGATGTACATCCTGAAGGGTAGCAGGTGATGATTTTCAAATAGTGGCTTCTGTAAAATCCAGCAGAGATGCCTGGATTGAGTTGTGGGCTCTTTGATTTGACCAGGCCCTCCCCTGGCTATTGTGGGCAATGCAAGAACAAATCAGCAAATAAGAGATCTGTGTGTCCCCCTGCATGCCTTTTAAATCACAGAATAATTTTTTAAAAAGTTTATGAAGCAGTAGAGAATATGTTGAGATCATGAAACAAAGCTGCATTATAGTATGTCTAAAAATAGTATGCATGTAACTGCTACCCAAGATGAGGCTAGAGCGTAATGCCTGTACTCGGGAAGCCTACTCATTCACAGCCTGTTCCCTTCTGCTGTCTCGGTGTTAATCACTCCATAGTTGTGTCATTTTTTAAGAGCATTTGCTTAGCTTGCCTGGGCTCTAAGCTTTTGATAGATATATTTAATGTTTTCTTTTGTATCTCTTGGTCAGATGTTTTCTAAGTCATCACTCTAATTATACATATTTCATTTTAAAGCGATGTAACAGTATATTTATTGTACTTTGTGCATTTCCAGGGTGGAACTGTTATTAACAGGGTTTGATTACAAGCAATCTTGAACGCTACATTGACCTTGGGAACACAAGTTTCTTAGCTGGTGTGCCAAGGTGTGAGATTAATAGATTGTAGGATATGCAGATCTTTAACTGTATTTTCTGCAAGTGCTTGTAGTAATTCCAACTCCCAGTGACAGCATCTGAAAGGCTTGTTATTTCTTTCCCATCTTCTCTGATACTTAATAGTGTTACACGTTTTGATTTTTGGCCATCTGCTGGGGTATGCAGTAAGAATTCATCATGGCATTGATTTGCCTTTACTTCATTACTAGGGAGGTTGGCCCTTTTTCTTTTCTAGTACACTGTCTCTTTCTTTTGAGCATGTGCTTCTTTACTGATATTGTATTTTGCAAATATCTAATCCCACTCTTTATTTTCTTGTTTTTTTTTTTCTTTTCTTGTATCTTTTTATTAATAGTCCAAAAGCTTTAGTTAACAGTAGCCATTTCCACCTAGAATTTGTATTGGCTCTTCCAGGTCAATGTGTTCAAAATCAGAGAGTATTCCTATTCCATATGAAATGTTTTCCTTCTTTTGTACTTCAAGTCTTGCCTAGTGGTTCATCTTTTAATGCGTCATGACTTGTTCTGTTCTTATCCTCTAAGGTAATATGCCTATGAACATTTTCAACTGTAATAAATAACAAATCATGTTATAAAGTACTTGTGTTTGCTAGCATCCCCACTGACGTTTTATCTACTCCTGGAGATCAGCCTTCAGATAATTCTTAAGAGTACACGCAGATGAAAGTGTCTTACTAATTCTTCTCTTTCAAAAGAGTTAAATCTCAAGGAAGTCCGAACACTAAATCAAAGTTAATATGAAAATTGAGAAAAGATTTTAAAATTTACTAAAGGCATTAAGAATCATTTTAAGAACTTTTTTGGAAACTTTTCATGGCATAATTGCTTTTTTGTTTTGTTTTTTTTTTTACTTTTTATTTTTCATGATACATTTCCATAGGCTCAGGGATTTCTCCTTCCACCCCTCAGGCTCCCTCCCCCACTGTTTTCCCCCTGTTGTTACAATGGTTGAGTCCCTCAGCAACATCGCAATTCCCCCATCACTCCTTTGCTGCATCTGCTTACCCCTTGCTTGGATTGTTGTAGTGACTTTTCATTCAGTTTCCTTTTCTTCTGTCTCTTTCTACGCTGTTAGTAGAGCTGTCTTTCTAAAACGTGGAATCCTTTATTACCTACCAAATCGTATCAAATCTCTATAGCATAAAGTCCTGGTCTCTTCCTTATGCCCCTGTTTGTGTGTGTAGCCCCAGGTCACACCATTCCCTTCCCAGCCAGCCCCTGTGGACACTGTGTTCTGTGCACTCTGAACTGTCCTATTCCTATAGCGTTCTGGATCTTCCAAGCTTCCCTGCTCTGCTTTCCCTATTGCTGTCTTTTTCTGTACTTACTTCCATGCTTTTGCATTATTTCTGTTTGTCTTTCGGGATTTAGGATAGAGGGTCACTTGGATAACTTGCTGTAAATGTGTTTAATAAATGTGTTTTCGCTAAATGTATTAATGGTTCATCATTTGTTTATCCAATGCAGATTAAGTTTCGTAAATAGGTCTCTTGTTAAAACCTGGAATTCCTTTTCTAATTTGAATACAATGCAAGTTATTAGTTATGGGAAAATCTTCCATCATGTTCAGGTTCCACTAGGGGGAGAACTCAGTCAAGGATCTTGTTATCCCAAACCTCTCCAGGTTGGCTTTTTGGATTACTCTTAATCTTTTGTGACTACAAGTTTTTCTCCTAAATCAAACGTTATAAAAATGCTCATTTAATAAATTGTACATTTACTTAATTTGTTATTTCTAAGTTAAAGTCTGATTTTAATTTAATTATGAAAATTGCAGTTGTAAGTATTATGTTTAGATACATACTTTGGATGAAGAAAGACCTATTTTTTATAGATGCTATAGCATCACTTCTTGGCCTTTTTGCTGAAATCAAGTGTATACATGCTGTAGCTTTTTGTAGCATATGTCTTTACAAGGCTTGATTTGTTAAATTTTCAAGAATTATTTAGTCAGCCTGAAACTTTCATACTTAAAGTTCATGCTGTACCCCAATTTTATTACTCTAACATCACTACACCTATAATCTGCTTAATATTCTCTGTAAGATTATACTGTCTCCACCTCTGTTACAGTGACCTGGCCATTATTACATATAGCTGCTTTCAGATAGGCATTTTCCTAAAATTGTTTTACTGTTTTGTTTTACTTACTTGAGAGTGAGACAAACAGAAAGAAAGAGCTGCCATCTGCTGGTTTACTCTCCAGATACCACAGTGACTAGGGCTGGGCCAGGAACTCTCTCCTGGTCTCCTGTATGGGTGGCAGAGAGCCAACTGTCATGGATTCAAGTATCCCAGGTAGCATCTTGCCAAATGTCTGCCGCAGAACCCTTTTTTTTTTATTTATTTA